TTTTCTATTTGCTTACGCATTATCGTTTTTTTTAATCTGAATTGTTACACTGTTACTGGATATTATCGCAGATGTAAAATATTTCAAGACTCATGATGTGATTAGATGTAGAGACGGATCTGCGAATTTCATTAAAGACCAGCTCAATGACGATTTCTGTGACTGCCCCGATGGAACCGATGAACCTGGTTTCGTTTTCTATTTCTTTTTATTTATAAATGGTTTTTGATTTATTTTTATTTGTTTTTGTGTTGGATCATTGATTTTGATTTTTATGTGATTTTTGTTATTGTAGGTACATCTGCTTGTCCGCGTGGGAAATTTTATTGTCAGAATGCTGGACATGCTCCAGTGTATCTGTTTTCGTCTAGAGTTAATGATGGAATTTGCGGTGAGCATAATGTGTTTTGATAATTGCATTGCTAGTGCTTAGAGTTAGTGCTTTAGCTAGGGTTTTAAATAGGGGTAATGGCTGCGGTTGCATCGTGATCTTTGACATTGCAGAGAATTGCGGTCAAATGCGATGGATGCAGCGGTCTAATGACCTTTGTTTAAAACTGTGACTCTAGTGATGAAATTAAAACTAGGGAAAGAGGGGAAAATAAATTGTTAGAAGGAAAAACAAAATCCATATCAAATAGAGGTAGAGGAAGACCTATAAAAAAAAACTATAAGAGGAGTTATTAAGAAGGATCTCAAGATTAACGATTTGGATAGAAACATGGTTCTGAATAGAACATTATGACAAAAGTTGATCCATGTAGTCGACCCCACTTAGTGGGATATGACTTAGTTGTTGTTGTTGTTGTTGGATAGATGCAATTATGCATGACCATTGACAGAGATTCTATTCATATAGATTTAGAATTATGTCTTAGCAATAAACATGTTTTAATCGGTTACTTTTTAGTTCATTTGTTCAGCTGCTTTAAAAGCATTATTAATTCTTTTATCTTGACTTGAAAATATTGTGGGCGTTGTAATTAAAAACAATTGGTACACAATGAACTGCTAGCCTGTAGTTTGGATTGTTTCTAGACTTATTAGCTCCGAAGTTATTTACTTCACTTTCCTGCTGTTGTGTGTAGATTGCTGTGATGGAAGTGATGAATATGATGGTCAAGAAAAGTGCCTAAATACCTGCTGGGAGGCCGGGAAAGTTGCTCGGGATAAGCTTAGAAAAAAGATTGCTACTTATCAAGAAGGCGTCAAACTGCGAAAACAAGAAATTGAACAAGCAAAGTTATCAATGGAGAAGGATGGTGCAGAGCTTTCAAAATTGAAAAATGAAGAAAGTATACTTAAAGGGGTTGTGAAACAGCTAAAGGGTATAGTTTTTTTTTTGTTCTACCCTTTCTTGTAATGTTGAACTTAAGAATATATAAACTACATTAATTTTGTGTTAAAGTATAGCCATAAAATAATGATCAATGGATCATCTATAAAAGAGGATAAAATGGAAAGGCATTGTATCAAATTCAGAAATTCTATTTTCTATAGGTTTATTTTGCATTGGTAGGATCAAGTGAATGTATCAGGAAATCTGATTAGGAATACAGGAATGTAGTTATTGTTATGTTTGGTTTGAAGTGTTAGATTAGACACCTTTATTGGTTAAGCATAAAACCTTAAAATGCATGAAAGAGTATTAAGTTTCTTTATTTTGAAAAGAAATGAAGAGAGGATTAAGTGTCTAGGATATTCTGAACAAACTGTTTAATTACACATATGACCACAACCAATTATTTTAAATTGATGAACCACTTATGACAAAGTAATCACTATTATCACTCTGTTTTAACAAGGGGGGAGGCATTTTTCACTCACTCTCCTTGTTTTGAAAGGCAAGATCACATAACATATTCAACTGTGAAATTACAGATATTGGGCTATGTCATAAAGGATGTGAACTTTTGATTTGGGTAAAAAAGGAATGCAGTAATATTTTTTTAAGATTTGTCATCTGATGGCAATTTTCTATCCTATCAACGGAATTCTTTCTTTAACAAACTCCTTTTGTCTCCATTGCAGACCATAAAGAACAAATAGAGAAGATAGAGGAGAAGGAGCGTCTACAGAAGGAAAAAGAAGAGAAGGAGAAGAAAGAGGCCGAAGAGAAGGCTAGTGAAAAAACAATTAAAGTCGATGAAGAAGACACAAAACACGAGGATGAAGCTGAAACGGATTCACACAGTGAAGACAATACTGTGGCAAGTAATCATGATAAAATTGAAGTTCAAGAGGATTCTCTGGTTCAAGAGGATGAAGCTGGGGAAAAGCTAGCCGACACACTTGATAATTCTGTTGAAGTCACTGATGCCCCTGGAAGTGAAGGATCATTGCTTAATCAAGTGGAAGAGGTGCATAGAGTTTGTAGATCAATGTTTTTATTCTCTTAATTATTGTTATTGAGGTGGCATTTCTTGCCATGCGTGTTCATTAGGTATAAAAACTTTTTCAACAATTTACTCTGGTTTTCCTGAATGTAGAATGCAAAAGAAGCTGAGAGAGAACCTGCTGTTGAATCTGAAATTGATTTGACGACTGGAAAGACAGAGTCTTCTAGCGAAGTCATCAATACGGTATCTGCATAGTTCATAAACTCAAAGCTTGACTGGAATTTGCTTTTATTATCGTCTCACAGCTAATTGTTCAATTGATTTAGACTGCTTGGTTCACTTAAGCAACAACTATCAGGTCATAACGAGGTACTGATAGGTTCTTCTATTTTTGTCGGTTGTTGTCTCATAACTTCCCCAAGATACGGGTACGATATCTGGTACGAGTACGGGTACTGGTTCGAGATCGGTATTTAAAAAAAAATCAAGGTAACGGGTACACCAATAAAAAATAAAAGTTTCTCCATAAAATGTATTGAGAGATCTAAATTGTTCAATTCACAACAAAACATCACAATAAAAATTTTAATAGTAAAAATGATGTTAAGTTACAATAACAAAGAAACAGAAATGCATAAATAGTATTATATTAATGAAAAACCACAAAATTTCACTTGAAACAGAAAAATGAGGAAAAGTAAGTGCCATGAGTACGGTACGTGCAGTATGGTACGAGTACTTCTCCATTTTAGAAGTATCCATGCTTCGGAGGCACCCAATCATATTGTAAAGTCGAGATGTTGCACTTGATTATTTATCTAGTATTTTTCTTAGTCAATAATTATGATATCTAGGATACGACATCAGTGGTAGCAGAACGTTTCTTGTGGAAATTTTTTTCACTACCTTTGATTTCTCAGATTTGGATGTAAGGAAACACTGGGTTGTTCTTTCAGATTTAAACATAATGCAATTTCAAGATGAAAATGAATAGTTGACATTTGAGAAATACCCCTGCTGTGGTGCTTCTAATCATCTGATATAACAAAGTTGGTTATTAATATTATCATTCTTATACATTTTAAAAAATTAATGTTATTTTGCTTAACTTATTTTATGTATTATACTATATGGTTATGTAACATTGCAATTGCTGGCTTTAAACCCTTTTTTATTGGGTCTTTGCTCAGACTGTTTAATTTTTTTTTATTCTGCCATTTGTTTTTGGCCAAACTGTATTTTTTGAGGGCATGACATTATCTTTTTGTGTATTTATCTTAAGGCATTGATCTGCTTTCAATTCTTCCTGACTGTCTTTATATGTAATCTAGTGTATTTAGCTACAATAGATGCACGATATGACGGTAAAAACTAAGCCTTATCTTGTCGTAGATATCCTCAAAATAACTTGTGAGCTGAAAGAACATATCATGAAAGTATCTGTCTTCCTTCATGGAAAATTACCATTGTGTGTGTGTTCTGAACCAAGGAATTGAGTTCAAAGGAAATAGCTATTTTATTGAAAGATCAAGAAAGTATAAAAGATAGAGAGAGAATAGGAGAGAAATATATCCTCCAAGGGTTTCCCCTTCTACAATAGGGTCTACTATATTCACAAAAGTTTACACATCTAAATGACTCCCCTCATTATCCATGTATGCTCCTATTGATACATGAGAAACTCTTCTAACTAATCAATTAACGAACTAACTTCTCTAACTAACTTCTCATTATCCTTTATTGTTACTATATCCACCTTTATCGTATCATAACATACTCCTCATTATCCTATATCCTAACAATACATCCCTCCACAAAATAACATTATCCTCAATGTGGAAATCTATGAAGTTCTTGTTCCGTGGCTGTTAAAAAAAAGGATTTTTTTCTCCTCTAGGATCCCACTGTTGGGAACTTAATGAGCCAAACTCTTTCAGATCAGCCAGTTTCAGATTTTGAAAACAGTGAAGTTCCTTTAGAAAGAACAGTTGAGAAAGGGAGTTTATCACTCCTATAGTTTTATTGATAGAAAAAGTAAAAGATACACGAGAGGATATACTATAATAGAGAAAAAGAGTATTCGTTTCTATAGTTTTATTGATAGAAAAAGTAAAAGATACACAAGAGAGGATACTCTTCTAATGCCGGTTTGAAACCAGTCAGAAACTAAGATTTACCGAAGATCCTTTCATTGGGAATGGAAGTCTTCATTTATAGACTTCATTTATAAAGGACAAAAATCAATAACAACTACCCTAAAACAGAAAACTGAAACTAACTAAATAACAACTACCCTAAAACAGAAAACTGAAACTAACTAAATAACAACTACCCTAAAACAGAAAACAGAAACTAACTAACTAAGGCTAGGGAAAAAGTTACTGATTCCCTTTATTCCTAAACCTTTTCCTGTGATAGACCATCGTGGGGGTTAGTCTTTAGATTGTTATTCTTATCATCTCTATCACCTTGCTCCCAAGAATCCATTATTTTCTCATCATTTCGCATATGTTTATCCATCCTTTGCACCTTTGCAATTTTGTCTTCTACATTTCCTTCCATACCCAACTCAATCATTGGAGTTGCTGCTACTGCCCTTTGTTTGTTACAACCAGGTTTTTGCTTATTCAAGAATCTGTTTCAACACTTCCTTAAGCTTCATCAAGCTCTCCCTAGAAGGAAGTTGTAAACTTGTAACCTATTTCTGTTTTTTCCTTCCAAGATTTCCACAAATTTCATTTCCTCCCCTACAACTGACGCCTCTTTATCATTAAATCTTGCAGTGATTCTTTGTTTTGTTATTGGTCTGGCAGACTTAACAAGATCCAAGTCTGTCTTCAATTCTACCAACGGCTTTCCCTGTTCGCCGATATACATGGCAGTTTTTGGGCTCGCTGCACTGGTAAATATCAGCTGATATTGCGGGTTTTTCCGCCATAATCTGCTATAACGGCGCCGCAAAGCGGCCGGTATGACGGAATTTTGGCTCTTCCCCATGGACCACCATTTGCCATCGACAACACTGCACTGCAGTCAATCTGTGCTCCATCTTGCCAAATGAGGATCCGGCAGGTCGGGCCAATTGTTAGTAACCAAGAAATTAAATTCAAAGGAATATCAGTCTATTGAAAAATTAAGGAAGCATAAAAGATAGAAAGAATAGGAGCGAAATCTCTCCTCCAAGGGGTTTCCCCTTCTATACCATAGAGTACTACTCTATCCACAGCAGTTTACAAATCTGAAAGAATCCCCTCCTCTATCTATGTATTCTCCTACTTATACATACTCATCTAGCTAATCAACTAACTATCCTACATTGTTACTAACTCCTTATCCCCCCATATTATCACAAACTCTACATTATCTTTAAAAACATACTTATGCAAAATAACCTTAATTTACTCCAATTCTAAATGAATAAACGATCACATGTGCACAGTAAAAAATTACATAAGTAGATGTCATACGGCCCTATAAGATCACGGCCAACAGAGCCAAAACAAAACACAAATTAATATGGCACTCAAACACAACAACAGAGTCAGTCTCTACATCCCACCCACACCTAGAAATCACTGATCACAATCAACCACTTGAAAGAAGGGCCACTTGCAAGTCACAGCACTTACAAATAAAAAAGTTGTAGTGCTCAAAGATGCAGGGTCAAGTATTCAGACACACCAAGCTTTTACTTGCAGCACCACAGGGCCACTGCACTAAGGGTTTAGGTAGCAGGGCAATAGTCTCATTTCTATCAGGTTTCAGATTAGGATTTTGATTACCGGACAATCTGATGGAGCTAGGTTTTTGAGTTGATTACCTGCTCTCCATCAACTGGAAAAGGAGGACCAAACAAATGTTGCAGTACCTCGTTCCCACAGATTCCATGAGCTGGCACAATCCTACCCAAATTTAGGGGTATAGACAGGATTGTTCAGCCAGCCACCGAGCAATCTTGGAAACATTGATTATTATTATTCTTTCTTTTGTTCCCCCTCTGTACTTAATTCTTGCACTCCTTGCAGTGTGAATATAAGTATAAAATAGTCAAGCTTTGATGGTATTCAAAATATAAGCAAATCTTAATTACTTTTACCCTATTTAATGATATCATTCATATAATATAAGCAAATCCTAATTACCTTTACCCTTCAAATAATTTATAATTTAAGATCCGAATAACTTTTTATTCTCACGGAACAAGTTCTAATGAAGGGTGATTTGGACAATGCAAATATCTTTTGATTATGTTGGACTTTCCGCCTTAATTGCGGTCCGCCCTTAGTCGCCTTAATTGCGACACTATGGCTTGCCTCATTGCAGCCCCCAACACCTTCATTGTGTTGGCTTTGAAGGGGTGGATTTAGTCACACATTGCTTAGAGATATGACCTATGTTGTGTTTATAAGTGGGGGCAATTCTCGCCCTACAAGCCGGTTTTGTAGGGATGAGTTAGGCCCAACCCAAATTCTGAGATGGTATGAGAGCCTATCCTAGATCTATTGTTGGGCTTCCCTCATCATCCACGCTTCGGGCTCATTGAGACCCAAGCGCGAGGGGGTGTGTTGGACTTTCCGCCTTAATTGCGTCCGCCCTTAGTCGCCTTAATTGCGACACTTTGGCTTGCCTCATTGCAGCCCCCAACACCTTCATTGTGTTGGCTTTAAAAGGGTGGATCTAGTCCCACATTGCTTAGAGATACGGTCTGTGTTGTGTTTATACGTGGGGGCAATCCTCACCCTACAAGCCGGTTTTATAGGGATGAGTTAGGCCCAACCCAAATTCTAAGAGATTACATTCAGAAAATTAAATGATATCAACTAAATTTCTGAACGGGGGAGTTATTCTTCTTACTTTGTGTGCTTATATTCGTAAAAAAAGAGAGTACTTGCTAACATTCATTTGCAGCTGGAGCTGAGAAACAAACAATAGTTTCATTTTGAACATACTTTAGCGCCTTTATTAAGATACTCATCACCAGCACTTGGAATTATTTAACTTTTACAGTAAGAAGCAATAGTATTAAAGGGTCCTTCACCCAATTTCCCACTTCTCATGAAACACATAGTTTAAATAAACATTTGCAATCACATAATTAAGATAATTTCAGCAACCCATCTCTATGAAACACCAAAGTCCATTCTAGTTTCAATGGATAGCTTTTACTGACCAACCTTGAGAGTTGTGACATCCAATCATTAGCTGTCTCAAAATTTAACTCAAAAGCTTAACCACATTTTCTTCGTCTTCAAACATCTTTAACCGCCTATTCACTGTTTGAGCTGATGCGGAACCATAGTATAGGAGTGTTTTTGCATCAAGATAAATACAATGGTTTGTCTTGAGTTTATAAATGCTACTAGCTTTTGGTGTCACAATATATAATCAAGCTATCATACCATCTTAGAATTTGGGTTAAGCTTAACTCAACCTTACACAACCGGCTTGTTTGTTGAGGATTGTCTCAACGTATAAACATTTGTTCAGGCCATATCTCATCCGGTGTGAGACTCTTTAACACACACCTTTACAACACTATTACGCTCGGAATGTTAATATGAATGGTGGGTGGGTCGGATAGAGGAAACCTGATAGCAGGCGGCCCAAGTAGTCATGAATAGACTCTCATACCATCTTAGAAATTGGGTTGGGCTTAACTCAGCTTTATAAAACCGGCTTGAAAGTTGAAGATTGTCCCCACTTATAAACATTTGTTCAGATCATATATCATCCGATGGGGGACTCTTTAACAAGTCTTAAACACGGTCATTTTTAATGACTAACTGCATGTTTTGTGCTCTTTTGAACTCATCTTCAGTTCTTCTGATATCTCTGTCTCAGGGGAATTCTTTCCTATGTTGTGCGAAGTTATATATATTAGTTTAGTTCAGAAATAACTCAACAATATTCCTCCACTTTTCTTATCTGTTATTTCTTTTCTCTTTGCCTGTATATATATCTTTAGGGTAGAGACGTATCTGAAAATACTGATGGATTATCAAAGGAAGAATTGGGCAGGCTTATTGCTTCTCGTTGGGTCAAAGAAGATGTTGTCAAAGAAGATGTTGGTGCGAGAAGTGCTGAAGCTGACACTGCATTAGACAATGAATATCAGGAAGATATTGCACACGGGACAACTAATGGTGAGAGTGAAGGATATGCTTCTGAAACTGACGATGAAAACAACAAATACGACGAAGATGTAAACGATGACGAATTTCATGATGATGAGAACGACGACCTTAGTTCCTCATACAAATCTGACATTGAGACCGAACCAGACTTGTCAGGTTTGTTATAGATATTAATGCAAATGTTTATCAAAGTGTGGTATATAACAGATTTGTGATTAAGGTAATTCAAATGAATTCAGATTTTAGCACAACAGAAGATCCTTCTTGGTTAGAGAAAATACAGAAATCTGTATGGAATATTTTTCAGTCTGTCAATATATTCCAGACACCTGTGAACCAATCAGGTACACATTTAACATTCCACTACCCATATATTTTTATCCAGATTGATATAACTTACACCTTTTTCTTTGGTGGCTTTAGACGCTGCTCGTATACACAAGGAATATGACGAATCAAGTACTAAGTTGTCTAAAATACAGTCTAGAATATCAAGCCTGACGCAAAAGCAAAAACTTGATTTTGGTTAGTATGATGCTGGTAACATTTGTATTGTAGAGGTTAAGTATGGAATTGGCTTGAGTAACTGAAGCAAAACTTCAATACTACAGGTCCAGCAAAGGAGTTTTATTCATTCTATGGTCGTTGCTTTGAGAGCAAGCAGAACAAGTTACATTTTTTACATTTTTTCTTTCCCAACAGTTTTTACTTTATGCTGTATTTGGCATTTTGTAAATCTGAAAGTTAGATAGTCCTCTCCTTTTCATCTCACTTTCTGGGATGCAATTTTTGTTCAGGTACACTTACAAAGTCTGCCCCTATAAACAAGCTACTCAGGAGGAGGGCCATTCCACCACCCGTTTGGGGTAAGGTTTTGGTAACTGGTTGATAAATTTTAGCAGACTGCTTTTCTCCTGTTCAAAATAATTTAAGCATCAGTTAGTGAAAAGAAATAATTTTAAAAGAGACGAGTAATTCAGTTTTCTTTTCACAGTGGCTGGGACAAATTTGAGGATTCACACAAAGTAATGGTGTTTTCTAGTGGTGACAAATGCTGGAATGGTCCTGATAGGAGTTTGAAGGTTTATATGTTTTTGAATTTTAAAAGTTATGCATCATTTCTTTCAGTTTTGAGAGGACTATATTGCATCTATTCATTCTAAAACAATAAGATTAAAATATACTGGTACGGTACTTATAGGACTATTCTGTGTCTATTATTTCTAAAGTACAAGTGTTTGAAACATAAGTAAGAGTTAAGATCATATTAATAGTTATGTTAGTTCATTTTGGGTTTGAGACATACTTTCAGTGAGTTATAGTCGGTGAACCTTTTTGCAACAGCAGGCAAGTTCAATTTCAGTTTCCTTACATTTCCCATAAAAAATAATCATAATAATTTAAATTACTGGACTTTGGAGTTTCTCATGGAAATAAAAACACGAAAGGTGGTTCAGATTTGTGGACGGTTTAGTAATTAATGGCTGTTTTTTGAACAGGTCAAGCTAAAATGCGGGTTGTCGAATGAGATTACTGATGTAGATGAACCAAGCCGTTGCGAGTAGGGATTGTTATTTTGTTTTCTCTGCTCCTTTCACCACTTTTCTTCCTTTTTGTCAAATGTTTCTGTTATGTTTTCCCTTTTTCTCATTGCTGCATCTCATGGACCTATGGCAGGTATGTAGCTTTATTAGCAACCCCAGCCCTTTGTCAGGAAGAAAAGCTGAAGGTATTTAAACTGATTATTACATGATAACTAATATTGTCTTGACCTCAATATAATATTAATGGTGACTGTGGAACGTAACAGGAATTACAACAAAAGCTAGACTTACTGAATTCGGAACAACCAGGAAGCCATGA